AAAACAAATTGTACAACAAAAGACAGCTGTTAGAAGAATCATTAAAAGCTACGACTGACCTTGGCATATTGAGTAAAGAGAGGAATACAATTATCGAAAATTATCACGAGAAAAAGCTTCAAATTCTTCAACAAAAATTAATGTTGAAGGAACGAAGTGTAATTGCTAAAGAAAAAATAGTAAAAAGTATTTGTGATTTACTGGAAAATCATTTAACAAAATAATTATAAAATAGTTAAATAATAATATATAAATTATACAATTTTAAATTGAGATAGGTACTTACATAACAATATAATAATTAAAATAATGATAATAAAAATAATAATAAAATTAATGATAATCAAAATAATAATACAATTATTATAATATTACATAATAATAAATAATAATGAAATAGTTCTGTTTAATTAATATTATGTATAAAATCGTTCAACTATTTGTTGCTTACACGGCGGCCTGCTGTAAGTTTAGGATTTTGTCTAATATTAATTATATCAATGTTCGCATTATATTTTTTAATAAATCCCAAATCATAGTCCTCTTCAAATTCATCGATAAGTGGTATATTTTCATTAATACACAAGTTGTGTATTATAAACTTATTTAGGTAGTCTTTAATTAAGTAATTAATAAACTTCATTAATTCAAGTTATAGTAGACAATATTATGTCGGAAGCGTTCAGCGTCGAAATGGGACTATAACAGGGGGACGCACTTTCCCCATTATTATTCAACGTAGCCTTAGAAAAGGCAGTAAGAGTATTACAGAACGAAGTTAGGGGACTAAACGTGGATGAACACCAAATAAAAGTGCTAGGGTTTGCAGATGACCTCAATATACTAGGAGACTCCTTGGATAATACAGTGAGAGCCACTGAAATACTAGAACGTGCAGCAGAACGAATTGGACTGCACATAAACACAGATAAGACAAAATTAATGGAACTCCTCAGTAGAGAAATATCGCCGGATGTGATGGAAACGATACCATATGAGAAAGTTGAAGAGTTTCAGTACCAGGGCGTACTTTTAAGTACAAAAAACGATTGGTCTCGTGAAATAGGGTCAAGAATAACAAAAGCAGAGAGAGCGTTTTTTGCCATGGTAAAGTTCTTTAAATCTAAACTATTCTCCAAACGAAAAAGACAAGACTTTATACATCAATAATAAGGCCGATACTAATGTTAACTTCTCCTAATCAATAACTCCAAAACAAATTTATCAGTCTTGAATAGCTCGTTTATTATAACGCAAAAGAAAAGAAACAACATGAAACTTAAGAGGACGTAGTACCGGCGTTTTCAATACCAAAAACATGCTCGCTTAGTTTCAAAATTTTGCACTCCAGAGTGGTTTTAGGACATAAACACCTATTAACAAAATTAAAGATAATAATATTTTCGAGGGCCCCACGTAGCCTTTTTTCAAAAAATTAATTTTTTGAAAAGTTACTGTCATTTTAACATGTTGAAAAAATCATTATTTTTAAACGATGTACTGAGCTTAATATTTGGAACAAAGAAAAAAACCTACGTGGGGCCCTCAAAAATATTATTATCCTTAATTTTGTTGATAGGTGTTTTTGTCCTAAAATCATTGTGAAGCGAAGAATTTAAAATCTAAGTGAACATGTTTATACGCTGTAAAATATTCATTCTTTCCGTCAAGTGCTGCTACTAGCGGTCGTCTGCCGACGTAGGTTTTGCCGGCGGCAGCGCCCCCCACTCTACAACGCAATTAGTTCGACTAGACCACGGCTATACTTGTATCTATAGCCGTGGACTAGACTGAAATACTGAATTATAAAAATAACACCACCGCCGCCGTAACAGCGATGGTGTGCCTTGTTTCTGGTATATTTATAAATTATAATATTGATAAATACTACGTACATATTATTATTGTCATATTGAACAACATAATATAATTCATACAACAGTCTTGACGTCTAATAGCATGCATTGTGCAAGTTCACTACGTAAACGTACGATTTACGTTCCTAGTCCTTAGTCACTAGTGATTAAACATTGTTTGTGAGACGTGTAAAAAATTGTTTTATGTTATTTTTGTTCCCCGTTGTTTTTTTACATTATGGGTAATAAAAAAAACAAAAAATAAATAAATACCTGCAATAAAAGATTAACTGGCAATGTACTGCTTGCACTTCGCCGTTACAAAAAAATGATCAGGTAAGTTCGTATCTTCCTAGTCATTTAATTTTTAAAAGTATAATTTTTTAGCTTATAATTTTATTATTATTTGGGGGGACGGAGTGGCCGAGTGAATTGCGACGCACACCGACGCTAGTTCAAACCCGGCCGCGGGTGGCATTTTTCTTCGGGAAAATCATGGCGTCCGGAGAAAAGTGCCCGGGCATGGCAAATACCTACAACGGGTGCCCACTAAAAAATCTGCCAAACCAAAAACACACGTGTTTTTTTTTGTGTCTGACATCACCTTTCAGGACAGTAAAAGTGCTTGGATTTTCTTCAACAATATCTTTTCTGATAAGAAAGTGAATCTAGTTGGTACTTTGGTACCAGTAGTTTTCAAAAGTGCCGTGAAAAACAAAAGAAAAAACGATAATTATTACGTAAAATCTGTTTTCGAGAAAATCGTTTTTGGTTTTTGGTATAACTCTTAAACAAATAAATGTATATACATGAAATTTTCACTGGTTGTTTATATTTGCATTTTCTATATACGATAAAGTTTTCGAAATATTATGATTTGTTTTGAACTGTTTAGGAACAATTTTATTTTCCGTTTTTTTTTTTAGTTTTTTTTTCTAAAAATATCAATCACATTTTATTTGTTGGTTAAAAAAGCTTGAAAATTTAATATAAGGCTCCTAGTATATTGTTTCAAAGGCAGATGAAAAATAATAAAAATCCTTAGTCACAGTTTTTTTTTATAAGAATTTAAAGTTCAAAATTAACAAAATATGGAAAAATCACGAAAATTAGCAAATTATTTTGAGTTAAGAATTCGTAAAAATTTTTCTTTTTTTGAATCTAAGGTTTTAAAAAAGGAATACAAGAATCCTCATAAGATTATCTACCTTTATCAAAAAAAAAAATGTCTAAGAAAGTCAAATTCAATTTTTATGAGCGTTTGAAATTCAAATTTTTACAACATTGGATATTCACTCGATTTCTCATGTAGCGATCGCGATTTCCTTATTTTGTTGTAATTCAAAAACGAATAACGAATTTTTTTTGTAATTGAAAATTTAAAACAAGATTCAACGTAAGTAGTTAATTCTGTTACCAAAAAATCTAAAAATACATAATCACAGTTTATTTTTATAGTCATTTTAAGTTCAAATTTGGACGAAATTACATAATAAAAAATCTAGAATAACTATTTTAGTTATTTTGTTGTGATTGTATAATATTATTCGTGGCTACTTGAAACTTCTAAAGTACACTATTATATATTTCTGGATCTGGACTATGATAGTATCAGGGTTTGTTGTTGATGTATAACGCATTATAAGTACCGAATGGATATTGTGGTATGATTAATTTGGAATTTATTATAGTAAAAGGTTGCTTAAAAGTGATATAGTAGATCCCGTACATATAAAAGAAAATATGAATAAGTTTACTTTATCAAAGAGTTAAAAACAAAAAAATAATAAATAATAAAACAATAAAATATTTTAAATAAATACAATTATTTCTAATCACGAACATTTTTCAGTTATTTTGTAATAAACACTTCACAAAAGTATTAGTATTTACATATTTTGACAAAACTTTTTGATATTTTTCCGACAGAGGTATTTTTTACAGATATTTGAAGAAAACGAATCAGGGGTGACGGATCTATTGTGTGTATACCTACAATATACATATTATAATAAATGTTTAGTAGGCATATACATTATAGCTATGCATAAAGTATAAACGCACTGTATACACATTTGTACATTTGTTTAAAATTAAATAAGTATATATTAGAGGTATTATTATTTATTAATTAAAAAAATGTTTGTTTTTACTTATTATCATATTAAAAATATTTGTTTAAAAAAGTAAAATAATATTGAACAGTTGAACCTTGAACGTAAAATATGTTTAGGTACTATTAAATTATATTCTACTGTATGTATTATATTTGAATGAGTAATAGTGCAATAACTACAAATTAAGCTATGTTATATTACAGTTTTTACAATCTATATATTGGTGTATATATTTAGGTAAGCAGTAACTTTGAAAAAAATATAGTTCGAATGGGTACGCACGGTCATTGAAAATAATACCGCAGCGTTTACGTGTGTGACTTTTATATTGACGCGATATGCCATGGTCGAAGGTTCATGAAATAATAATCGGCGCTCTCGAGACGCGCTGAATGAGCAGTGCCAGTAGTGCCACCGACCGCGAGTAGTGGGCGTGGCTTAGTTGTCGCGCGCTTGCGGATCCCGAAAACACATTATAACGCATTCTCTCGGCCGTTGCATACGTAACGCTTTGGGTATCACGTCCTCTTAAACACTTATAAAGAAACAACAAAAACGTCTATCGTGTGCGTAGATACCTAATATCCACCACACGAGTCGACGACGAGTGACGACACGACGTAACTACTAACTAGCAAGTCTCCGCCTCTCGGCCAGTACTGTCACAGGATGACAGGAAGGGAGCGAGCATCGCCGCCGACCGTCCTGACATCTAGGGGAGTTTACAAGCGACCATCCTGGCGCTCTGTCGTCCTCGACAGATGTCGTTAATCATACAGTAGTAAACAACAACATTAAATATATATTTTTAAGAACAAAAAAAAAAGATATATAATTAACATCATTTTTTTTTCACGGTTACAATATAAAGAAACAATTGACAATACAAATTCTTAATAAACAATAAACAGACATATTTAATAAAAATTTTAAAAAGAATCATCTTGACATTTATCATCATAATTAACAATATAGTATGTATTAACAACAAAACAAAAATAAAAATCAGTTCCCAACAAAAAATTACTTAATAGTAACCACAATAGCAATATAAAGGAACTACATAATAATAATGATAATACAAATTTTCAATTACCTTACAGGAGTAATCTCTTAACCAGTCAGGTCTACGCATCACTCGCTGTGAGCGTCTTCCTACAGTCTCAGGTACTTCAGGTATTTGTGGATCTGCCGGGTTTTGGTCCTCAGTCTCCGATTGCCCTCTCTCTGGCTCCTCCAGTTCCCCTTCAGCATCGTCATCAACCGGTAACCTCCAAGACTTCAACTGCGAGACGTGGGCAGTCGTGGCTAACCGACTTTTCTTGCTCGCATCTAGTTCTGCTACCCGGTACACGTCTGAGGACAGCACCTCAGTTACCACCAATGACCCTCGGTATTTGTCCTGCAACTTCGTAGACTCACCAGTTGAATTGGGATCCCTTCTCATGACCACCACTTCTCCTACTGCATAATGAGTATTGTCATGTCTATGTGAATCATAAGCAGCCTTCCTTCGACCACTTATCAGTTCCATATTCTCACGGACGCGTGCTTGCAACTCTGCTGGCGGTGTCCAGTTATCCTCAGTGGCTGACAGAACACGTAGAGCACTTTGTAGGAACCTTGGACGGTACCCATGTAACATCTCAAAGGGGGTCTTTCCAGTTACCTTAGTCTCACTGTTGTTCAGCAGTCGTTGTACCTCTGGCAACAGCTTGGCCCACTGATTCTCAGCTCCTCCCATGGTCATCAGTGTAGCCATCACCACACTATGCGTTCGCTCCACATGGCCGTTGGCCTAAGGGTGTCGTGAAGACGTAGACACCAACTTGATCCCTTGGCTTGCACAGAACTGCTCAAACGTACCAGACTTAGACAAGTACCAGACAAGTACTAGACAAGTACCACGGTCAGTTATAAGTCTACCAGGCAGTCCATACTCCTAAACAAACTGTTCCACACAGTTGATCAGAGGCCTTGTCCTAGTGTCAGTTACACCATATAACGACACATATTTCGTCAAGTTGTCCACCAGTACTAATATGTACCTAAATCCACCGGGAGCCGTGACAAAGGGTCCCACGTGATCCATATGCACGGTATCGAAAGGCCTTTTCCCGACAGGTATCGGGTGCAACAGAGCCCAGGTCGTTTGCCCCTATTCACTCGAGTCAGCAAACATTCAAAACATGACCGGATGTGCAATTTTACATACCGCCTCATATCTGGAAACTAAAAGTCCTGTAACACATTAGCCATTGTACGATCCACTGCAGGATGCCCACTCAAATCATGAGCGGTTACCACCAAGCTCTTCCTCATAGACTTAGGCATCACGAACAACAGTTTGTCCTGGTACCGCCTGTACAACAGCAAATTTTTCACCACGTAGGACGTCCCTAGACCTTCAGTGGGACTCTCCTCAACCATCTTTTTGAGATGGGCTACTTCTGCATCAGCTGTTTGACACATCATTACATGCTCATCTTGGCATATCAATTGAAATACAGTCTGTCGTTCCATCAGAGCTTCGTCAAGTGATTCCTCCTTTCCCACTGGAGCTCTGGACAAGGCGTCGACGTGTGCCATACGAATTCCAGGTTGATATTTCACATCAAACTCATACTCCTGCAGCGAATCGTTTCACCTGGCGAGTTGGGAGAGTTCACACTCTTGCCACTATTTAAATTAGTGAGTGCCTGACAATCTGTATATACGGTTAACCTTATCCCGAGAAGGAACTGCCTCAATTTGTTGATTGCCCACACTACACACAACAACTCAAGCTATCTGGAGTGGTAGCGAGTTTCAGCATCACTCGTCTTCCTGCTTGCACAAAACACTAATCGCAGAGGGCCACCTTCCTCCGACGACTGCAACAACATGGCCCCAAGACCCAGTGCACTCGCATCAGTATAGAGTTCAGTGATGACAGCTTCCTTCCTGAACATAGTCTGTACAGTGTCACCCGTCAATGCTCGGCGTAGTGAGTCAAAAGCTGTCTGCTGCTCTTCCGACCACTTGAACTCCTGCTTCCCTCGCATTAGGCGCGTTAAGGGCTCAGCAACCACAGCATATTTTTCAACAAACCGCTGGAAGAATCCAGTTAGGCCAAGAAACCTTCGGACCTCATGCTGATCCTTAGGGACTTATACCCTTTATCCCCTTTATACCCCTTATACCCTTTATACCCTTCAATCGCACTCACCTTCTCTGCGCCTGGTCGAATCTCACCATTTTCAACAATAAAACCAAGGAACTGGATACGTTTTGCCCCAAACGAGCACTTTGACGGCTTCAGAGTAAGCTGTGCATCGCGTATTCTCCCCCAATGCAGCGCGCAAGTTCAACAACATTTCAGCCCAATCCTTTCCATCCACGACCATGTCATCGAGGTAATTCCTAACATACAAACCTTGCAACGGACCCAACACTCGCTGCATAAGTCTAGTGAATTCGGCAACAGCCCCGGACAGCCCAAACGGCATTCGGTTGAATTCACCTGTTGTATCCACAGTAATAAACGCTGTCTTTTGGGACGCCTCCTTAGTCAGCGGAATTTGTAAATACCCGCTTGCCAAATCAAGCTGAGCAAATAACTTACTGTCAGCCAACGACTCCAATCATGTCAGAAAGAGGATAATGCTGACGCACGGTTTGTTTGTTAAGGCGGCGATGGTCCAAACACAACCTGCTCTTACCGGCCTGTTTGACTATCAAGCACAGGACTTGCATACGGCGAAGTAGTCTCGCTTACCACACCACACCTCTTCCAGTCCGAGACAATCTTATGTATTTCCTCACGGTCAGATTGGGTTGTCTTGTAAGGTTAACAGACGATAGGAAAACTGCCCGGTACTTCCTTGATGTCAACCTTCATCATCGGCGTATAGCCGAGCTCATCTAAGCTCTTAGCGAAACAATCCCGGAACTCATTGACGAGGGTTAAAATGTTATCTCTCTCTTCCGGCGTGACCTCAGGGTTAACAAATTCAAAGTCGCTCAGCTCTAATGACTGCCGAACCAGTATATCACAGTTCACTTCTACAACGTGTTGGTAGTCAGCTTCCTTAGCATGGCAGTGACCCCTACCGGAGAACTGCTATAATTTGATTCCACGGAATAAATGTACAGGTGTCCATGCGCCTTATGGTAGGCCACCAATGGCAGGTCCAACCACGACCGACCAACAATCACATCTGGGGCCTGGATAGCACCAGGTACTACTAGTAACAACACCTTCCCTGGATTGACACCATCAAGTACAACATCGGACTCAATTTCTCCAACTGCATTCACGGACGGCACAGTTGTACTTCCAATCCCGTATAGTGGATCAGGCCTTAGAGGGCCTCACATGTAAGCCGCACCTTAAAACAACACTAGCCTTAATGTGGGAGTGATGACTTCCAGTATCCAATAATACTTCCACCTCTCTACCATTGACTAGACCAACCATCTTATAAGGATGACTCAATGTTACTGGTCTTGTTTCGGCAACGTTTGTCTGGTCCTTTTCTGGACAGTTGGGTCATATGTGTCCCTCAACCCCACAACCTAAACACACGGGTTTCCGCTTCACCTTGTCAGGACAGTCATGCGACAAATGACCCGTTTTCTTACATACCCAACAGCTGGAGGGGGAAGCGTCCTCGCGGGTCCCACTCGACACCCCGGAGGTCTTATAAACTTTCTTCCATCTTCCGGGCTCATCAGCCTTCTTCTTAGGAAGTTGACGGGCAGGTGTCGCCTTCGCTAATTGCGGGGCAACGTACTTCGACGTGGTTGTGGGCGCATGCAACGCACACATGCGTTCCCAATTCAATAGGTCACTCAATAGTTCTTCCTCACCTGCGTGAACCCTTTCGACAGCGTACAAAGCCATGTCTTTAAACCTCAGCCCGCGAAGAACATAATCTTTGAACACTTTGAATGAATGTCCTATACCCCTGCACATTCGGAGTTTAGGTTGTAAATAAGCGATTAAAGATTCGGTCGGCGCTTGCTTCCTAGCACACATTTTGTCCTCGCGGTCGGCCGCACACGCGTCACGCACGAAAACTAACCTGAATTTCTGTTCGAACATACGCCAATCAGCAAACTCACGGCCCGAAAACCAATCTTTCGCCGGACCGGTCAAGTGCATCCGGACGTACTGCAGCACGTATTCGAACGGCCAATGATTTAGAGTCGTCATACCTGTGATTTCCTCCAACCAATCGTCCGCCTCGAGAGGAGTCTCATTCCCCGGAGAACAAGGTCATCGCCCGACTCAGGTCGGGAACTACTCGATATTCGGGACGCATCGTCGGAGTAGCCGTTACGGTCACGGGCGTTTCAACCAGCTCGGATACATTTCTGGCGGCTATCACCTGCCGTAGGGATGCAACCTCAGCCTGCAACGTCGACGACTGTGCACTCTGCTCTCTGAGCAGATCCACAAGCTTGACCAATTCCACGTATGTCGGGGCTTTGATAAACGCCGCTTCATCGGATTTTTCGCCGTCCATACCGACTTATCAATACCGACCCACAACACAACAGTCTCTGATAAAAACACTATCAGGCATCAGTGTTACCAACCAGGTATTGTCATCACGGTGCTTTGGTTACACGCACGAACGGTTACGGTAGCCAACAACACGCGATGTCTTTTCCGTTATTTTTTTTATTTTTTAAACGACTGAGGAATCCACCTCTTTCCGAATTCGGTTTCGCACTATAAACAAAACTTGACGTACGGACAGGAAATGATCGTTCTCGCACTACGTTCAACGGAACAAATCCCACGTCTGATATAATATATATGTTAACTTCTCCTAATCAATAACTACAAAAAAATGGTATAAAAACAATACAATGGTAAAAACAATGCCAACCTTACCCCTACCACAGTTCATAACTGGGCTTAAGTTCTTTAAAAAAAATGTTAATTCTTAACGTTCAGATAAAAGAAAATATCAAAGAATATAATGACTGCTAATAATTACACTGGGTATATTATATTATGTTCTATAGTATAATTATTTAAAGGAATCAGTCAGAATAAGAGTTACTTATAACCTGTGGAAATAAATGTTTTTTTTTATTTTTCATCCTCTTCCTCAACAGATTTTTCATCCTTAGATTCTTCATCTTTTTTTAATAGTAAAGGAAACATCCCCAAAAAGCAACCTAGAGTAACTCCAAGTGTTCTTCCCTAATAATAATAAGAATAATAAGAATTAATACAAAATTTAAAACTATAAAGTATGTAAATACTAAAACCAAAGTATAAATGATAAAAGAATAATTTATTATTTTAAATAAAAATGACATTGTTACCTATACACTTTTCATTTTCAGAATACAATAAATGTTTATTGAAATTTACAAAAAAAAATGTCGTGTAATATAAATTGTAAATAGTAAATATTTTTTAACAAAAATGCTTACACATTTTAATAAAATTATGCTTTAATTATAAATCCAAAATAGATATTTCTAACTTGTATTTAAATGAAGAACTTATTAAATTTTCAGTTAATACTTTTGGTTTAAAATATTTTTAACCTTACTAAATTAGCAGCTCGTCTACTACAATTCATATCCAATTGAAGAGGTGTTAGATTTGGAGGTTTTAAGCCAAGTTTGATTACCAATTGTTCCACATAATATGAAGAGCCAATTCCAAATTCAAGAAAGTACCAGCAGCATGTTGATAAAGTATTACAGCACAAACAATTGATCATGTAACCAAGCCAGATTACCAATTGTCACTATATGAAGAGCCAATTCAAGACAGAAAACGTATTACATTGCAGCCGTGTTGTTTACAGCACAAGTTTTCATTGATTCACCCTAAAAAATGGAGTATAGTAACAACACATAAATATTATATACTAATAGTAGTAAGTAATTGTTTTCATACACATATTAACATCACTGAGTTGTCCAAAAATCCAAACATAATAAAAGGAATAGCATTTTGCAATCCCACTGTTGAAGAAAAACATTGATCAAATAACAACATTAATTTTAAATAAGTATTTATTACTTACCTCTAAATAATTGTGCTCTAGTTGGTTCTGGTACAGTTTCCGCTAATTTAAATTAAATATTAAAAAGAATTAACATATAAATGTAACAATTGTATTAATTAAAATTTTTTTTTATAAGTTTAGTATAAAGGTTAATATTTAGTTTATCTTACTATTAGTTTCTTCTATCCATTGTAAGAAATAAATAATATTTAGAACACAATTATTAGTATTAAAATGATGAATTAACAATATATAATTTAATATAATAATATGCATTTAGTATAAATGTTAAGTATGTAGTTACCGTATTTTTTTAAAAGCCATTCTTCTGGCAATGGACAGTAAGAGCCTGTTGGATCTACATCTCCTAGTTCAGGTACTTTACTGGGGCGTCCAAACTTTGAACTTCATCTGAACCCAGCCAATTGACCTATAGGTCAGTATAGACGAGTTATGTTTATTTCAATACATATAGTAAGTAAATGTAAAGCATTTTTTACTAGGCATCTAGTAAATAAATCTATGTTTGATGAAAAATGTTAGTCCAATTTTAGGTTTAAAATAGGAATTAAAAAGAAATGGATTTTGAAAGTATTGGATAAAGATTTCATGCAAACAGCCCACAACATGATAGCCTTAGAAGGTACTGAACCTCGATATTCTGCTTTGGTCTCTTCCGATTCGTAATGATTTAAGCACCAAGCTAAATTGTCTCTTTCTTCGTTTGTCAAATTCATTAATAAGGTTTGAGCCTTTTCTTTAGTTAATGATTTATCGTCATCTTGATCAGAGTTTGAAATTGCTGCTGTACATAGTCGACTAGTCATAGTGACATTTTTTGTACCGCTGAATTCCCAGCATTTTTCCACATTTTATTTGATATTGAACACATTTTGAATTAGAACTCCAAAACTTATAAAGTTATTCAGTTAAATGGATTTGAATATTACTAATTAATTTAATTCCAAAAAAATTTCGAAGTATAAAAGGACTGTAGTATATATTTCAGTAAATAGTAATTAGTACAATAATATCTAAATATCTAATGGTAACATGAGTAACTATAATATTACAAATTAATAAATTACGATATTAAAATATAATCGTCACTACTCACTAATCACTATTAAGTATGAAGTATGAACACAAATATAGTAATACTATTATTGTAGTAGTTAGAAGTTATAACTTATAACTATGGAATTCTATGTTATAACTAACAATAAACAAGTAAGTAGTAAGTACTAAATATAGTAACGAGTTCATATCGTCATCACCCGATGGCCGACACCCACCCACATAGACTTGTATAAAGTATAAACAAGCGCGTTTTCGCGGAGGTACCGAGAGCAAACAGTTTGGTCAACTTTGCCGATTGTTTACTGATATGGCATATCAAAGTTATTCATCGCCAAAACGCTATTTTGTAGATTTTAATCACGGACTATTATAATGGACTGGAAACGAGACGTTTACCACCGGGCCGCTTAGTGTCCGCGTGAGAGGTGTAGTAAGGGGGAATTGTACATGAGCTAATCTAGCGCCATCTATACTTCAAACTAACTATTATATATTATGATATTATGATTATTATACATATAAATAACTTCATTAGGTACTATAATAACTATAAAAAAATAATAAGTGATTTATTCACGGACTATTATGTGTTACTAGTTAGCACTATTACTAGGTAGTGTTTTATAGCAAATCAGACTGACTATAAAGTTTATGGCATAAAAATGCGTAAATGTTCAGTGTCTGGGTGTAACAGCCAAAATCGTAATATTAAAATGACACTTTTCAGTGTCACAAATGCGAATAAGTCATCTTGGGAATCAGCAATCCGTAGTTCAATTAATAATCAGGTAAAAGATATAAAGTATGTTTGCTTAGAACATTTTTTACCTAAAGATATTAATACTACATATCCAATACCATCAGATGTAATCGAAGTAAGAGTTAAAATAAATAGGTTTTTAAAGGAATTTGGTATTAAAATTAATTTACGTTAAAGGAATTCGGACAGAAAAAAGTGTTCTCATTGAAGAAGGGGGCTAGCTATTCCCTCATTATTCAACCAAATACTTTCTCGTAGTGATAGTACTCAATATGAACCAAAAACTCACTCTGCTAGAAGAGAACTTTTTACAGCAGAAGTAATTACTGAAAATATATTAATTTTATATTTTTTTATTACATTACTTATGTATTAATATTTTTAGGCTCCCAAAATTCTTAAAAGAAATGTTGATTCTGTTGATTCGACTTCAAACAGTACATCATGCAAACAGATTTGTTTAGTAGATATAAAAGTAAATATTAATTATAAAAAATAATTTATTTTCTAATAGCACTTATATATGCAATATTAAAATCATTTTGTCTAGAAACAAAAGTTTGTAATTGATCCAGTAAGCTTGCCACTTGGTTGGGCAAGTTATAACAACAACAGTACTGTAGTGTTTTTCAAACCAGTTTACTTGATTGATAAACTTGTAATTGAAAAACAAATTGTAATAAAAAATGATGAAGTCGCCAGTTTTTATATTTTCAATAAGTTGATAGATCCTACAAATGTAGGGTTGATTCAAATCAAATTTCCTGTAAACAATAAAAATGTGTTAGAAGCAATAAATTATTTCCATTGCAAACAAATTTGTCAAGGTGGACCAATGGTTATTAATTTTCCAGGTAAGAGATTTCTTATTTTATGATGTAATAAAACATAGTAACAATATGATTAATTTGTTAATTAAATTTGTTTGCATGGTAATAAATGAATATACAAATTACAGTTCATATAATATGATATATATTATAAAATAGTTTATAATTATTAATTAGTTTGATGTCAAATGTATTTGTTTAGGAGTACATTGTAAGACTGCAGTACTTGATAATGAGTTATGGCGTCATCAATTGTGTTCTATATTAGTAGACACAAAAAAAAGATGCCTAAAATGTGACAATTTATACCGGCAATTTAGGAGGTCCAAGTCAGTAGCTATTGCATCAAAACGAATTCGACCTACGCTTACTCCTACTCGACGTCGTTGGTTAAATAATATTTTTAAAATGAAGAAGAATGCCAACAAATCAAATTCAAGGTGAAATTATTTGATAAATTATAATATAATATTATTACATGACATTGACATTGGCATTAATAAATTAATATCAACAGGTTTAGATTAACTATTGCCAAATTAAATTCAGTGTTAGCTGTTGTCCAAAACAAAACGGCAAATTTGTCAGATAGTACATTAAACACATTATTTGTATCACATAGTTTTAACGATTCTCAGAAAACAATAATTCAAGAAATTGTTAATTCTAGTAAAGCACCTAAACCAAATAATAGGAGATATTCAGAAAATTGGATTCTGTTATGCATTTTATTAAAAATAAGGTAACAATTTTTACTACACAATAATTATTTCTATAAATTGGGTATGAATTCAAAAATCAAACAAGCTTATATTAAAATTATTTGTATATATTTTATGTACAGGTCAACTTCAACATACACATTTTTAAGAGAGCAAGAGATACATAGATCCTTTACCTTGCACTCGTACTATCAGAACATATTTATCCCTAGTTAGAACTCAATGTGGCTTTGATGAAAAATTTTTTTTATTGTTTAAAAAAAAAATGACAATACTGAATCATCAACAAAAGCATGGTATGCTTATATTTGATGAAATATTTTTGCGGGAAAGCATAAATGTGAATTCACAGACACTAACATACTCTGGTTTGGAGGATTTTGGTGGAGAATTTAAAGGAACAGGGTTGAAAGCTAACCATGGGTTAGTTTTCCTTTTTCAGAGTCTTACAGTTAACTTCACCCAACCAATTGCAGTCTTCACTTCAAAAGGACCAGTTAAAGGTAATATATATACTGTGAAAAATATAATACAAACAAATGTCAATTTTAGTTAAATTATCATATGATTACATTTAATGATTTTACATAACATGTACCTAATATTTTTGATTTTGAAACATTTTAATTACTAATATATGGGTTCTGTTTGCATATGTTGCGTGTATTTAATCATTGTGCCTGTGATGGGAGAGTTTATGTTTGTATTTAACAATTAGTTGCATTGGCAATAAGTATATGTTTAGTGAATCCTAATTCATTATTTGTGATTTGTGTCGTATTGGAATTATTTGAAATCTCTGTTGTGAATACAATATTTGGTGAGCATGTTTTTAATTTAATGTATAAAAAGCCTGTATTGAAAATAAATTAATATTGAAACTAATACATTACATGAACAGTATTAGCACAACTAGTGATAAAAGCGATATGCCTATTAGAAAGAGCTGGAGCAATAATAGATGGAGTAGTTTCTGATGGAGCTACTACTAATCGTAAGCTCTGGTCACAGTTAGGCATAAGTGGTGAGATAGGAAAAATCACTAATGCTTTTCAACATCCTTTGGACTCTAAAAGAAGAATTTACATGTTATCAGACCCTCCGCATTTGATCAAAAATGTCCGCAACAGATTATACAATAAGAAAGCATTGAGAGTAAATCATATAATCAACGCAACTTTAGATATTTACAAAATCTTATATTTATTATTTTGTAGGAATCGCCAAATGTGAGTTATGTAAGGTGGTCACATTATTCTCCATCAAGAGTGTGTCCAAAAATCACCCAGAGACATTTAGCACTTGATAATTTTAGTAAAATGAGCGTAAAATGAGCAACCCAGGTTAGGTTAGGTTTTTATTAGTTCTGATAATTATAATTATAAATAACAATTGAATTACTAAAATGGTTTCACAGATTTTTAGTAATTCAATGGCCAAAGGGATTGAGTATTATAGGTGTTACGAAAAAGTGGAATCTCTTAAAAATAGTGAAAACACACAATTATTTACAGAGCGTTTAAATCAATTGTTTGACGCTTTAAATCGGAAGTTTCCAGCAGAGGGCATTAAAAGTTCATATAGTTCACTAAGTTCATTGATTCATTGATTCATACATTGAATACATTCATACATTATGATTTCACACAACCGAAGCGAACTTTTCTCTCATCACCACAAATAGATTATACAAAAAGACAATTAAAATTCAAATGAAAAATACGAGAATAAAAGTATAAAACTATAAAAGAAAGAAAAAGCCGTGAAAGTTGCTCTTGATGCATTTAATGTTATTATTTTTGTTATATCACTTATGCCTGCCCAACATGGGCGGCAGCTTCCCCCACAAAAATCGAAAAATTTGAATCCTTCAAAACAAATTTCTGAGAATATGTATCAAAGCTCCAGGGTTCAGTGGCGTATTTACGGGGGGGATCATTGGGTTTGATCCCCCCCCAAGGCTTGAGTTGAGTTTTTTTTTTTTTTTTTTAATCTAAATTAGACGATAGTCCGGGAGCCGTCGAAAGAGTGAGGACTGAGGAGAGCGCGCGAGCAGCTGCTGGCTTATTTTGTAGTATTTCTGGACATTCTACTGGTAAAGAAAAATTTATCCTTGAAAAAAAAGGAGTAGAGAATAATATACAATCTTTATGTGCAACTATTCCTAAATTGTTATATAATGGATCATTAGAAATTAAATCTGCCAAGTTTGTTGATGTGCAATGCCTAGCATCAAAGTATGTTCCACCTGAATACATTTGGTTCTATAGATCTTTAGTTGAAGAAACCAGTTCTAATCAAGATAACAATGGTACTATATCCAATGATGAAGATGACTAGGTATTAAAAATTGTTACTCAGTTTTAATATTAATATTAAAGAAAATATATTTTAGAATATTAAGAAATCAAAATGATTATTAGTTTTGTTTTATTAATTTTATTGTTTTGAAGTATAATTTTGTTTAAGATTTCAAATTTGAATTATTATGAGTGATATTATTTATTATTTTTATTATAAAATTTAAGAATCGAGGAGATTATTAGTTTTGTTTTATTAATTTTATTGTTTTGAAGTATAATTTTGTTTAAGATTTCAAATTTGAATTATTATGAGTGATATTATTTATTATTTTTATTATAAAATTTAAGAATCAAGGAGATCATTAGTTTTGTTTCAAATATTTTACTGTTTAACTATGATTGATAAAAATCAAGTTAATTAATAGTTTTGTTATAAATATTTCATTGGTTTTTATTATTTTATTTGTTGTAAGATATTATATGTAATGACTGATAAAATCAAGCTGATAAATAAAATATCCATGTTACTAATATTTTTATTTTACTATCTTTTACCATGTTCATATCATTTATAATGTTGTTAAATGTGTTTACATTCTACTATGACTAATATTATTACCTATCGCTATCTTTAAGGTATGATAGCCAGTTTTTATGTAAAATTAAATGAATAACAATTTAATTTTTCAGTTAACATAATACTAAGTGGTTAAAGTAGAAATATTACTGAAGAATAAACAAAATTCATAAAGTAATATATTTAAACTATATATAGCTAAATATTATTAGTGGAAAAACTTATGACTTCTATACACTTACTAAGCTTATTTTAATACATTTATTTGTATATTTATCAGAGTTAAAACTAAAAACAATAAATCATTTTTGGAGTTATCTTGTTTATTGTCCAGAAATTATAACTATTTTTTTGTTTATTTTTAAAATCATGTACAGGTTTAGTTTTTTTTTCTTAAAACTCAAGTATGCTGTTTGATAGTATAATTACATGATAATTATTAACTCAGTTAAATAAAAAAAACTAATTCTTAGTAAGATTTTTACATTATAAAAAAAATAAAAAAAAAAGATTTAATAACTCCGAGCAATAAACAAGACAACTCCAAGAAAAATTTCTTATTTGTGGCTAAAAGTGTAAAAAATATTCATGTAACAACTTAATTAAGGGTACCACAGTTTTTATCACTATTTTAAGTATATAAAATAATTTTTCTTTTTATTATTCTTCACTTAAATATATATTAAACATTAAATATGTGCTTCCTGAAAAAAATGATAAAACGGAGCTGTCTGGTTATTGCACAGAGCCCTTCAATTGTCCAAAACATCTAGAAAACTAGACTTTGTTTTGTAAAATAAAAATAAAAAAAATTGTAGTAAAATTGTAGTTTTATATTTAAGTATTTAAAGTTAGGGGGGTGAGGGGGGCGGAGCCCCCCTCGAGTTGATAAGTACTGGATAAAATCATATCCCCCCCCCATGACAAAATCCTAAATACGCCACTGCCAGGGTTTATGAGAAATAAACAAATGCATAACGATACAGGAATTCCTCTTCTCAAAGACTGTATAAAAATACAATTCCAAAACTTTCACGCAAATCTCAAAACATCCGATGGCGCCCGGTTCTACAACCTGGAAAACAAAACAAAAAATCGGCGTTTAAAACCACGTCTACCTCAAGATCTTCTATCATAATCAAGCGAAGACAAAGATCAAATGTAAATTACCACTAAAAATAAATATTAACTAACATTAGCATGTATACTTCATTATCACTATATCACAAACAAATAAATTAGTAATTCGTAATTTGTCATTGTAATTAGTTAATAAACTTGTAATAGCATGTTAATATGCTGAAACATTTTAATTTTAATAAATAAAAAAAAAAATTTTATTTTAATATTACCTAATTGAATTGAATTAAAGTTTTATCCTATTTGTCTAATACAAATATACAATTTTGTATACAAACTAAATATGTTACTTAGTAAAAAATAACAATGAATATGAAATGGCCTGTATGGACAGGTCTAATCTGGTCTAACTTTTGTCCCCTAAATTAGTGTTTTTTGTATTCATTATTAACTATTTAGTACATTTGGTAGTGTTGGTACAGAAATAGTCAGAGTGTTGCACTATTTTATGAACATTGTGTTTGCTTATGCTCAATAATAAGAATAGTCTGTTCAGAAATTTTAAATTTTTTATTAAGTTAAATTTATTTTTCATAGTTAATCCTCTTTTACACTTAGTTAGAAATTAAAATTTAATATAATGGCCCCTCGTAAAAGAAGTGAAACGTGGAATCATTTTAGTGAGTTGGACAACAGTAAAGCCAAATGTGGGGATTGCAGTAAAATATTAAGTACTGCTGGTGGATCTTTTGGTAATTTGAATCGTCATTTAAAAACGGTTCATCCTGCTGTACTTTTTTCAAAAGCAAAAGAGATAATGGACCTTGATGAAAATCTTGTAGATGATCCTGCTAGTCACGGTATATTTTATTCAGTTTTACTATTATTTTTCTATTATACATTTCTATGTACCAATTTGAGTTAAACTCCTTTATGTGGTATTACATGAATACATAAGCAGAACCTCCAGTAGAAGCATTAAATGTTCCTGGTTCGAGTGTTAATAATACTTCAACAAATACTACCCGCATCCAAAGTAACATTATGAGTTTTATGCAAAGTAAAAAACCTATCTCAATGAGTAGATCTAAGGAAATTGATGAACAAGTGACAAAAATGATAGTAAAAGGGTAACTAACTATATTTATTTAGAATTTATTATAATTATATATAAGTACATGTTAAGAAACAAAAAGCAAATAATTATAATAACAATAATAATTATAAAAACAATGATACATTTGTATATAGTAAAGTCAAATAATTATATAATAGGAAAATGATAATATAGTAGTAACATGATTGCAACTCCTCTTTAAGCATAGCATGACGTGTTGGGGGTATGTATGTTTGAGTTCTAAACAATGATACATTAGAAAAGAGAAAAAATTATGCATACAAGAAATTAGGGAATAAGATAAAAAATCATAAACTAATTACTTAAATTTAAATTTAAGCACACAAATATTATTATTTTGTTTGTAAAAGGTACTACAATAATGTTTGACCCTGGCTACATTATTTTTATTATCTTGACATTTTACATTAATATGTAACTATAATTCATATTAAAATACCAATAACTAAAATAAATTAATAAATTAATATATTTATGTGTTATACAAAATACAATATTTATCAGAGAACTAAGCAATTGAATGAAAGTCAAAAATACCTACTTATTTTTTTATTTTATGATCTAGATTTTATCCATTTTCTATGGTGGATGACAAAGAATTTAGAAAACTATTAAAAATGTTGAACCCTCGATATGATATTCCTTGCCGACAAACTATATCTAAGAATTTGATCCCAAAATTATACAATTTAACTTTAGAAAATTTAAAAAAAAAAGTTGAAAATTCAAAAGCAGTGTCATTGACAACAGATGGTTGGACTTGTGTAAATAACAAAAGAGTTATGTTGCAGTAACAGCTCATTTTATTGATGAAGATAAAATGGTGTCCGTTTGCCTTGGTTGTGAACATTTTCCTCTACAGCACACAGCAATTAATCTAGCAGAGTATCTAAAAAATATAACAATTGAATGGAAAATCAATAATAAAGTAGTGGCTGTTGTAACTGATAATGCAGCAAATATGGTTTCTGCAGTACGTCAGTTAAATTTTCGACACATAGGATATTTTGCTCATTCCATCAATCTCGTTGTTCAAAACTCACTAGCAAACATTTCAGAAATAGTTTCAAAAGTAAAAAAAATAGTTGAATTTTTCAAACGCAGCAGTAACGCATTAACAAAACTCCAATCAACACAAGCTCAAATGGGTTTACCTTTATTAAAATTGAAACAAGATTGTGTGACGAGATGGAACTCGACGTTTGATATGTTGAAAAGTATTATTTGTATAAAAGATGCTGTAATTTCAACATTAGCTCTATTACAAAGTAGTATTGATACTTTGACTCCAGAAGAATGGGATACAGTTGATAAAGCCATTCTAATATTTCAAATTTTTAATGAGGTTACAATAGAAGTTAGCTCAGAAAAAACCGTATCTATATCAAAAAAAATAGTTCTAGTTAGTTCCATGACAGCAACTGTAGATACTTATGTTAACGATATATCTTTGCCTCATGCAGTTCATCAAATGGCAGTTTCACTGAAAAGTGAACTACCTACAAAAACGGTTTAAAGACATTGAAGAGACTGAAATTGTGGCACAAGCATCAATTTTGGACCCTCGATTTAAAAAATATGCTTTTACCGATGAAGTAAAATATAAAAACGCCTATACAAATTTAAGAACACGAATAGGAAACATTCGATTACCGTCAACATCATCAAACAACCTCGAACAAACAACTTCAACATCACAACCTCCAGTATCTCTCTTATGAAAATTTATGAAGATAAAGTTGAGCAATTCAAATCCACAGTGTTATCAACTGCAGCAGGAATAATAGAGTTGGATAAATACCTCGGAGAAACATTAATTGACCGTAAAGATGATCCGTTAAAATGGTGGTATGAACGAAAGCATATTTATCCTCATCTGTATGAATTTGTTATGAAGCGCCTCTGTGTGACAGCAACTAGTGTTCCTTGCGAGAGGATATGTTCAGAAGCTGGACAAATTATTACGCAAAAAAGAAATCGCTTGAACACAAAAAAAGCTTCACAGTTAATATTTTTACACAATAATCTTTCTTCTTAAACCTTTTATTATAAAAAAGTTGTATTATCAAACTAAAAAGAACCTCATTAAATATTAATATTATTATCAAAACTGTATTTAAGTTGAAAAAAAAGCAATTATTTATAGTTATTATTTTTATTTCTGTAATATGTTAAGTAGGTAACTAGTAACCACTAACTTACTAAATAAACTAGTTGATGTTTTATTTTTCTTTGAGTAATAATACTACCTACAAAAATAACTTACAGATTATTTAAGGAGGTACTAAAAGTATTTCATCTGATGACCATTGGTCACGGTATCACAAGTTAATATAATATTTTGAGAAATAAATTACATTAAGTTCAAATTATAACTGTTTGTTCGAATAACAATGTGTAGTTCACAAGCACAATTTTCAAATATCATATCAAATTATCAAGTATCAACTATTTTTTTTTTTTTAATGTTATCAAAATCACCTAATCAGTAATTATAGCAGTCATGTACAGCTGTTTTTGAGATTTTGGACGTAAACTAAATATTATCAAATATGAAGTATTAGTTCACGAACTATTTTACAATTTACAGTGAACAGTGAACACAATGTTACCAATTTATTTTATGAACTGTTAGGTTACATGTACTGAACTAGTTCGGAATAGTTCACCAAAGTGAATAGTTCAAATGAACTATTCGTTCACGAACTTAACATCTCTACAGTGTAGATACATGAAAATTTCACTGAATATTTATTTTATTATTATACTCATTCTTATACGTGATTACATTTTAAAATACTTTGACTCTTTTTGAGCTGTTTACAGACATTTTCAGTTTTAAATTTTTTTAGTTTTTTTTTCTATAAATATCAATCAAGTTTTATCTGTTAGGCCAAAAAATGTAAAAATTTAATACATGGCTCCTGATATACTGTTACAATATCAGTTGAAAAATATTAAAAATACATAGCCACATTTTTTTTTTATAATTTTTTAACGCGTTGACAAAATGTATCAAATTTAAAATTGAATAATTATTTTGTATTTAAAAATGTATAAAATGTTCAACTTTTACATATAAGGATTGAACATTTAAAACAAGATTCCACGTATGTAGTTAATTCTGTTACCAAAAAATCTACAAAATACAGTTTATTTTTATAGTCATTTTAAGTTCAACTTTGGACAAAATTACATAAAAAAAAACCTAGAATAACTATTTTAGTTATTTTGTTGTGATTGTGTCATATTATTCGTGGGTACTTGAAACTTCTAAAGTACACTATTATATATCTATGGAGTATGGACTATGATAGTATCAGGGTTTGTTGTTGACGTCTAATGCATTATAAGTACCTAATGGATATTGTGATATGATTAATTTGGAATTTATTATAGATACCTATTTTAGGTAAATTTTTTCTAATACGATAGATAAGGATATAATACGTCTTATACCTAGACTGACATACAGTCTCCTCTCAGAATTGTTTTTCTTATACAAAGATATTATATCATTTGAATCAATTGAATTTAATACTATCTATTATATAGTGACCTACTAGTAACCTACTGTACATCAGAGCACCTTTTTAACGCTTTGTTTATCACTATAGTAACGAATAAAAAATTATAATATTAATTCAACTTACAGACTATAATAAATAATAATAATATAAAAATTCCAGACCGACAAACCGTCCCCGCTCCGGTGGCGTAGGGATGCGTTCACTGTGTACCTATGTACAGCATACACTTCACTATTTGAAAAAAAAATGTTTTATTATATATTAATAATGCTATATTTTTAAAAAAAAATTTTTAAATTTTATTGTACTAATTTAATACTTTGTAATATAATATTTTTTGGATTTTCTTCCAAGTTCATTAATCATTATTCATTACTCATTAGGATTGATTAATCCGCAACACCACGGCTTGGACGCGCTATAGTCCTTATATCTAGTGGCTAGTACCTACCATGTTTATTATGTGCACGTCTTAGGCCATTGCATACGGGTATAGACATTCAGCGACAGATATTAATTATAGTTCTTCTCGATAATATTAATAGCAAAACAGAACGCTTGCGGTCGTGTATATTCCTTTGGTTTATTATTTTTAAATCCCAGTGAAGTAATGAGTTGTTTTATGGAAGATTTTATGCCACAGTGTTTATCTCATAATCATGTTCTATCGTATTCACAATATTTATTGAAAAATTACATTTCAAATACAAGTACTTCCCCCCTAAGTTGTGGGCAGAAGCAAGTTCTTCATTAACAAGAACCACAAATGCATGTGAATCGTTCTATTCTGACTTCAATCAATTGTTTTATAAAAACTCACCTTCAATATTTACGTAGGTTGAGAATTTTATTAATGAAGTACAAACCAGTGTGTATTGTAAAATGTCAAGCTTGAATCATCCAAAAACTCGACGAAATAAAATTAATTTAAGACAAATAAAAAATGAAGAATAGTGGGTACACCTATATATATGGGAAAAGTAATAGTAAGATAAGATATAGATAATGGTCAATCTTGTAAAAAGATACTTTTAGTTTGTATTTAAATAGAGATATAAATACATCAACTTAGAAAGTATTTAAATAGTATTTAAAGTACTTTTTTCAATAAGTATTTAAGAACAAATACAAATACTTATTTTAATACATTTGTTTTAAGTTTTACCTTTGGGTTCAATACTTTTTCTCGGATATTTTAACTTTAAATTTGACCATGAGATCAAACTCATTCAAACTGTACATATTAATTATTATTATATAGTTAATACTTAATAGTTCATATATTATAATGCATGTTCCATATTCTGGTACTAACCAAGGTACCTACCTATAATTGTATGATAAGTTAATAATCACCGAATGATCGTTTTAATTATTTATTGTATAAGAACTAAATAGATATTATAAGAACCTTTATCTCCACAACAAACCTAGCTTCTGGAGAAAATAATTTATATATAAATGCTATATTTCTGTAGTGAAAATATTTGTATTAATGTATATATTACGTATGTATACTATTCAATTATTCAACAGGAAAAAAAATAAAAATTAAAACAAAAATTAATACCAAAAGTCTTTATTGGATTTTAAAATCATAATCTTTTAAAAATTGTCATCATTCATTTTGCCTCTTTTTTTGGACAGCACAGCACCTACGCAAAATACGCTCCCGGCCGGACTTTTTTGCCGAATTTTTTCGTTTTCTCCGACAGTTTCGTCTTTTCGCATGCCGTTCGTGGATCTAACATCATGTTGGTTTATGGGCTCGTTTTAGGTTCAGACTTCATAGATCATAGGTAAACGTAAAGTCGTAAACCGAATCAGCTGATCGAGTTTCGCTTCATTATTGTTCTATGTTTATAGTTTGGAGTTTCAAATAATTCACATCACAATAAACTAATATAGGCTTCAATGAAAAAAAAACAATAATATTTTGCATTTTAGGAGGCAAATCTTATGTCGGGAATAAACTTACAAAATTTCAATGATATTACTCATGACTATATTATTTAGTCATGATATTACTTTGATTTCTGAGAAAAAAGATAATAAATAACCATTTATTATTGAAAAAAAATCGATAAAGTATTTAAATAAAAGTATTTGATTTTCAAATACAAATACGTCCAAAACCGTATTTAAAATACTTTCCAAATACTTTATTCAAAAAGTATTTAAAAAGTATTCTAAATACAATAAAAGTATTTAAATACATTTACTCAAATACTTTACAAGACTGATAATGGTTTATGATCAATAAACTGAGGTGAGGCGCGTGTGTGATACAAGGTGATGCGCGTACATCGTGGTCATTACTATTTGATGGTTTCAGTAAAGGGGTTCTCAAAAATAATTTATTAATTTTTTTTGGCGGAAAATAACCGGAAATATAACTTAAATCGGAATATAACCTTTGGCGGAAAACGGCCATGGTAATAACGGGCGAGGGTCATTTTCTCGGAAAACGGTTAAGCTCATAATCGTTTTACTTATACAATGATATTATATCACTGAATTAAAGTTTAATACAATCCATTATACATTGACCCACTTGTAACCTACTGTACAGCAGAACGACATCCACTTACCGGTTTTTTTCCATGTTATCGAGGGTCAGAGGAAGAACCGCGTTAGGATTACTTCTCCTCTGACCTCCACACCATCGTCGGTTGACATAAAATCACAAGGTAAGAAGAATATTAAATGAAAATAATAAGAATTACCTTGTTGTATCCATAGACCTATTAACTAATGGACTGCGCGTTAGACAAAATCACGGACTAAGATAGAATGGACTGATATCGAATGTCTTATCAGTGTGACACAAATGTTTCTCTAGACAAGGTACCAGAGTACACTACATTCAGCGCCATCTATGGAGAAATAATCGTAACAATTTTATTTTTCTATTCATTAGTCACTATTTACTTTTCTATCGTATTTTATTATCACTAGATAGCGTTGAACATAGTGTACTTGTGATAGATGTGCAGTGAAGCGGGACAGAAACATTTGGGGATCAGACCCCACCACCTCGCCGTCCCTACCGTCACCAGTCCATTCTATCTTAGTCCGTGGACAAAATTATGATAAGCAAAAAGGGGTATTTTGGAAGAAACAATGAATAATTATTTATTGTTCCAAGATTTATGATCACTGATTAGTTAATTTTTGGCGATAGCAGTCCGCTGATAACAAAAGTTGAAAACTTTTTAAATTATATTATTTAAATATTTTATAACAATATAACATACACTTTGATAAATAGAATTGGATTATTTAATCATGGTGAAAACTTGCTCAATTCCTATGTGTCCTAGCATAGCCTCTAAAGAACTTGAAATAAAGTTACACAAGTAAAATATATACTATGATAACTACATTAATTGAATTGCTAGCTTCATCATAAATATACCTGGTGATCCACTCAATAACACTATCATTACACTCCATAAGATCAAATTTGAACAAAATAAGATATTAAACAAAGAAGGTACTGGACAGC